TCAGGAGAGCTGTGAGGGTATGCTGTGACCGGAGGTGACGGCGGGGAGGTGCGCGTCAGGAGAGCCGTGCGTGTCAGGCGAGCCGTGTGTGTGTGCTGTGATGGGAGGTGACGGTGGGGAGGTGTGCGTCAGGTGAGTCGTGCGTGTGCGCTGTGACCGGAGGTGACAGCGAGGAGGTGCGCGTCAGGAGAGCTGTGAGGGTATGCTGTGACCAGAGGTGACGGCAGGGAGGTGCGTGTCAGGCGAGCCGTGCGTGTGCGCTGTGACCAGAGGTGACGGCGAGGAGGTGCGCGTCAGGCGTGCCAAGAGTGTACGCTGTGACCGGAGGTGACGGCAGGGAGGTACGCGTCAGCCGAGCCGTGCGTGTGCGCTGACTGGAGGTGACAGCAAGGAGGTGCGCATCAGGCGAGCCGTGCATGTGCGCTGACTGGAGGTGACGGCGAGGAGGTGCGCGTCAGGCAAGCCGTGCGTGCGCGTTGTGACCGGAGGTGACGGCGAGGAGGTGCGTGTAAACTGCTTCACATATGGTTGAGTTCTCACCTCTCCCTCCCCAAATGCAGTGAAAACCTGAGGATGATTGAGCTGTTGGCTTTAAGTGACTTAAGTGCCATTCATCTTAATGTACTGGATAATACATGGTGTGTGTCTTAAATGTTCTAAAACAAAGTGATTAGAAATCCTTTTCCTTTTTACCATTTTTGATTTTGTTCTGATATTATCAGAATTTTTAAACTTTTTCATTTGAGTTGAATAGAGGTAGAAGATAGTAGATTAAAAGGGTATATGGTTTCATCCTTTACGGCTCTTCTGGGGAATTTGAGACTAATGTTAAAATTAAGGCAGACGGGAACCCAAACCATTTTTTGGTTTGTGAATGTGTTGCTGGTGGAATGCCCTGAACAGTATCTAGGGTAGACTTGATGGTTCAGGAGGTGTCAGTGGAAACTGAAATCTAGGAGAATGTGACCTCCGTATTTCCTAAGTGCCTTGATTTCTATTACAGTACCTGTGAAAGGAAATGATGGCGAATGTTTAGTCTGACTTTTTCTCCCTCAGAACAGGGATCAGCCTCTCCTGTAAAGCTGCGTAGAAAGCACTCCTGAAGTTTGCATAGGAACAAAAGTTCATGCTCTTCAGAACTAACCACTGATGGACGGGTCTTCCCCATAGTCTTTTTTTTTTTTTTTTAATTTTATTTATTTATTT